GTGTGTGTGTGTGTGTGTGTGTGTGTGTGTGTGTGTGTGTGTGTGTGTGTGTGTGTGTGTGTGTGTGTGTGTGTGTGTGTGTGTGTGTGTGTGTGTGTGTGTGTGTGTGTGTGTGTGTGTGTGTGTGTGTGTGTGTGTGTGTGTGTGTCCCACTCTTTTCCCGTCATGTGTCTGCGTGATTGTCTTTGTACTGTATACATGTGTGGGGAAGCCTTTGTATATGTGTATGATCGTGCTCCTCAGAGGAATGTGACGCCGGGCTTTTTATCCTGACTCTGATGCATCAGTAATAAGGAACAGGGAAGTGTGTGTGTGTGTGTGTGTGTGTGTGTGTGTGTGTGTGTGTGTGTGTGTGTGTGTGTGTGTGTGTGTGTGTGTGTGTGTGTGTGTGTGTGTGTGTGTGTGTGTGTGTGTGTGTGTGTGTGTGTGTGTGTGTGTGTGTGTGTGTGTGTGTGTGTGTGTGTGTCAGCAGAATGTGCAGCGGAGAGGCACAGATGTGAAGTGGTGTCATTGTGTGTGTGGCAGGACTTCCATGCCACAATTGGAGCAGATGCTTGAGCCAGTCCCTCCAACATGAACATAGACTATACTTCAGACTGGATACTCCACCACTTGTCAGGATATCCACACATACACACACACACACACACACACACACACACACACACACACACACACACACACACACACACACACACTCTTTTTTTCCCATTTTCCCTTTCCGGGCTTCTTCTTCTTCTTAGAGGCTAGAAGCAGTTCATTAGCCGCCTGTCGCCATCTGTGAATACTTTAAACTTTAACTGTCAGCCTCACTAATTGACAATCTGCTTTGCTGGCATTGATTTGATTTCCTCTCTGTCTCTCTTTCATCACTTCTTTCCTCCTGCTTCCTTTCCTATTACTGCTCTCTTACTACTACACAGCCACACTCATATCATGTTGGATTATCTGTTGTTTTGTGCTGCCAACTGGGAAAAACCTGTTCATCCCAACCATACTGATGATTACAAGTAGTAGTTTGCGTATTGCTCAACTTTCCTAATGTGGGCGGGACAGAAATCTACCTTTTTAAAATGACAATGAATATTTGTCTAGTTTGAAGGTGTGTTGCCAATGTCACATGTTCTGGCCACTAGGGGGCAACAGAAACAATTGGAAAACGCAACACTGACATATTAGAATCTAATTATCTCCTTACCTCATTTGGAAAAGAGCCAGAACAAAGATCTGAAAATGAATTAGCAAGTAGCTCAATGCTATACTGGTTTGATGCTACTATTGCCACACTTCCAATTACACTTAGTTATTTGATCCGTCTTTGATCTAAACAATAATAAGATAAAAAGGGAAATTATAGAACCTAAAGCAGATTCATGGCTTTTTTTTCTCCTTTCAGAGAGTATATACATCCTGCATCTCTATGGAAAGAAACATGGATAGGGACAACACAAACATATTTAGTGCAGTATTACAAAGTTAAAATGACACAAATCATCAAAAAGATTGAATTTGTCCACCAAGCAATGAGGTAAAAGGGGGCTCCACATGCTTAACATATTGAACAATTGATGTCCTCTCCTCTCTGCTACATTTAAACAGCCTGCACTCATCAAAGTTTCACAGATGTTTGGTCACCTGACTGTTGGATTGACAGTAGCTTACTAGCTACTTTAACTGACAGAAGTGTGCATTGCAAATACATCCTGAGAAGAGTGTATAGAAGCCAAACATCAATCATTCAAATGTCCATCATTTTTGGCCATTAAAATGTTTGGCAATTTGGTGATTTCTAACAGAAAACAAGCCTTTAAACCCATCAGCGGTAGTTGAGGTTCAGAGAGTTTGAAGATTTTACTTTATCTTATTTTCTGTATCATAAAGTTATCGTCTTCTGTATCATCTTAGATCTTAAAATATACTTCATTGGAGATGAAAAACACTTTTTAGAATGCTCCCTGTGTCTTATCATCTCCAAATATTCACATCTTTGACTTTTCCACCCTGCACCTCCCATATGGCGTGAATGCTCTCTGGCTGTGGGAGTGGGCTGTAGAGTGGTGAGGGGAGCAGAGGGGTCTCTCAGTGCCATTACGTCGAAACCCCTCTCTCCCCTCTGCATCCTCTCAGCCATTCCCAGGCCAATCTGCAAGTCATTACCGATGCTCCATTAGACAGTGCCTCTGCACCGAGCACACTCAAATTGAGATGACTCTGCAGAGTGCGAGGCTGCTGCTGCTGCGCTTTTTACTTTGGATATCAATTCCTGATTAAATACAATGCAGCTCCCACGGATTTATCATTGCAGATGCAAACATTTGCTATCCTAATGGGGGAATTATAGTTTGCCTAATGGTGCTTACAGTCGAATTCAACCTAATTTACAAATTCTAGTTTGGTATTTGTACGGCCTTTATGATTGTTTACCGCATCTCCAGATGAATACCAAACACACATTAGTGGATATAACTTGTTGAGTGGTAATTAAATTATATTTGCAAAGCCCTCTTTTAACCACTTACAGGGTGAAATGTAATCAAGTCACCGCCTCCTTTTAGTCTTAAATAGGCTCTGTTTTGTGCATGTTAATTGTCTACAAATGTAACATCCCAAAGTTCCCTCCAGGGGGAGTTTCTCTCCCCCCCCCCCCCCCCCCCAGCTGAACAATCAGAGCAGACTGGGCTCTGGTTTCAGACAGAGGGTGAAAAGAGGTGCTGCAGCTGTATGAGAAAAATAAAGAGCTTTTTGAACATTAAATAATAATAATAATCCTTATATTTATTATATCGCTTTATCAATGACTCTCAAAGCGCTTTTTACAAATACACATTACACAACAGATCATACATACATGTAATGGTCATCTACTGTGGACAATACCCACAGGAGCAAGTTCAGGTGAAGTGCCCAAGGACACAACGGCTTTACAGACGCAGCGGCGGCGGGTTTCACCCCCTTGATCTGATAATCATTGCACAGCGCACTGCGCCACACCGCCCATCTTCACACCTCCAAGTCATCGAGGCGCTTTTACAAGTACACATTGATATCATACATGTACTGTGGACAATACCCACACATTAAAGCATGGAGACATGTCACAGTATAGGCACACATACACACATTAGCATAATAGCTCCCCTTCAAAAAAAACATTATTCTACAATGACTCAAGTATCTTGCAACAATGGATAAAAAGTCAATTGTTCTAATTATATATTATTTATCAATAATAAAGGTGTAAAATCAATAGGGAGAGAGTTCCATAGTGTTGGAGCATGGATTCCAGTCGAAAGCTAAATGTCGCTTTCTGATTTACTTTGGGATGAGAAAACGCTTAGAGGACTCAATTATTTTCCTTCAATTAACATGGTGCAAAGCTTCTGTTCTTGCCAAATTTGTATTGATTGAGGGGCATCAAGAAAGCGCTGAATGGAAGCGCTGACCCCTCACTCATCCCCCCCTCTAATCCCTCAGACTGTAGCTGTTTTACAACACTGCACAGTAGACTTAACACCGCCCCGTGTTGCACAGAGACACTGCCTCAGGCTCTCATTTTTTTGTACACGAAAAAAGAATTAGAATATACTTTAGTGAATTAATTTAGGCAAAACTGCCTCATTAATACTGGGAAGGGTTTGATTCCAAAATGGCTTGTACTCGTTTTGACAAGTAATGCCACGTTCAATATTCAGTTGTTCACAAAGAAGACGAGTTGATCCTCAGGAGTGTTGATCATGTGTAAGTGGAGGCTTTAGGAAGCTTGATTTTTCCAACATATTTCACCATGAGAACAAAGGTGCTCAAATTCATTTAGAAACTTGGCAAGATGTCCAGAGGCTATTATGTGCATAAGGTTGTTCCCATGCATGCTACACATTCAATGTCAGTAATATATATAATATATAAAGTCTAGTAATATCATAGTCATAATCTTTATAATCATAAAGAAAGTATAATGGCTATAAAACAATTATGAAATGATCATAACACAGAATCCATGTCGAAATACACACAGCTCATATCCACAGACAGTGCCTTGAAGCGGGCTGTACCCTTGTTAGTTTGAGATGTCACAATTATACTTATAGTGGTAAAAGTGCTGTTACAGCAATGCTTTCTTAAAGAAACAGGCGCAAAAAAAAACGTGTTTCAGACCCAGGGGTTAATAAGGATATATATTCAGGCACAGTGAAAGTAAAGCACGTGAAAGTATTTTGATATAAATGAATAAACCTAAAAAGCAGAATGATATGCCCCTTTAATGTATTTTACAGTGAATATGACTGGTTTTAATGCAGATGTTACTCTTATAGAGCAGCATATACATTATAATAAATAGTCTTTTTAAAGGTACCTGATTTGTAAGCAGTTTTATTACATGGCTTAGTTGAATACTTGATTCTGATTGGTCAATTCAGAACACGTGACACGTTGTTAATCCAGAACAGACAGACCGCTGTCAAGGACTTATTGACCGTTGTTAAGGACGCTCACATCTGCACAAAGAAGTTTGGTCGATTTAACTGTATACAGTTTGGCTACGTGTCGGGCTCCTGATCTGCCTGTCGGCTGTTCTTTTCCCCATAATGACCGCCTCGCTGCACATTATCCCTTAGCTATGTAAAGGCTTTAAAATGATCAAAAAGCCCAATTCATGGAGAAAGGCACACAGCCTGTATTCACTAACTGTGCCTTCCCACGGCCCTTTGCACTTCCTTAAGATTGTAATGTCACTACTTCATATATCAAATAAGATTGTGCTGTTGTATGTAAGTATGTCAAACTGTTATATAGGAACCAAGAAGAAGAAAGAACCCCGAAAGATGCATAATACGCCCCTTTCTCTGTACTTTACCAGTGTAAGATCTCTATTAATTGCAGCTGGCTACAGCAGCAGGTCCATACCATTACCTCCACTCAGATCTGCATCCCACTGAGAACATCTGTTCTCTTTTCTAGTCACGTCTCAATATCTTTATTCATTTTTTTCTCATCTGCAGGAGTGCCCTCAGATCCTGCCCTCTACTCAGATCTATATCCCTGCTGGAGTCATGCGGCCCATCACCCTGCTGGCCCAGAACCTTCCTCAGCCTCAGTCCGGACAGAGGAACTACGAGTGCATCTTCCACATCCAGGGCAGCACACACAGCGTCCCCGCGCTCCGGTTCAACAGCAGCAGCATCCAGTGTCAGAAGACCACGGTAAGCCTCAAAGAAAACAACTCCACACTCCCTGAAATCCCCTGCAGTGTCTGTTGACTTGATAAATGTGGATTTATGTTGGCCAAGGGGCCTGCTATTGACTGATTACCATCTCGGCCAATCCTAAGCAAATGTCCTACTGCTTTATCCAACCCCAGCTGTGTAATCTGGATCCATTCAGGACTGCATACTGGTTTAACCATTTGTAGACTTCACAGACTGTTAGTGGCTGTGTGAGAGCAGCAGTAATAGACTTGAAGCCGAGGCGTATGGCCACAGGGACTGAGTGTCGCAAAGCCACTCTCTCTTCATTCCCACCCTTCAATCCTGCGTCTCAGCCCTCAGTCAAACTGTCACCGCTAATGGGGGGCGACCGTTTCAGCAATGTTAATTTCCTCAGCCCCAATCAGGGCACGAAGCAGAGGGGAGGCATTTTAACGACACCAATTATGAGTTACTTAACGAGACATATGATTAACATGCACACCGCAGCTCTCGGCGATAGGTCCAATTGCGTTTTCCTCGCCGTTAAAAGCCATCAGGAGCCAGTGTGTGGCTCCTGATGGCTTTTCTTCAGCCTGTCAAACACTTGTCAGGGGCCCCGGGTCATTTATCCGGCTGCCGCATTCCCGCTGATTTTTGCGGCTGCTCGCTGTTTTTGATCTCAGTCAAAGGGAAAGAATGAGCCTCGGCGTTGTGATCCTGGAAGTCGCTCTGTCTCTGATGTTGGATGGTGACACAAAAAGTAGCTCTGGGGCACATTATTGAAGTTAAGTTCCAGATCGTGATGATGGCTCCTATGGTTCTTTTGTGTTTTGGAAAGGTAAATTGTGCAAATCATTCGCTTGTGTCTCTGTAATTGCCTCATGCAAGTGAGTGTTCTTTTAGATTTGTACTTTATGGGTTGTTATTAGCCGTTTTTCTCAGATTTGTCCTCAGTGACCTGACTACTTGAAAGCCTGTTGAATAGAGGGAAAGCGGCAAAGAACGTAATTGCTGAACATCAAGATGAATATGTGAATAATTTGGTCAAAGTTAGACTGCCAATTATTTTAAAGGAACTGTGGCTTTTAATTTAATTCTCTCCCACACACACCCCCCCCCCCCCCTGCCTGAAATGCTTCCATTGGACACATGTGTTTACTTCTGTAACATAGTGACATCTCTATGTAACACCTGCGCTTCTATTGGCTAGCACTCCAACACATTGTTAGTTATAGGCTAAGGAGCGGAACATTTCTTAGCGCTTGACCAATCACAACAGAGCCGGGTATTAGAAAAATACCTTTTTGATCATTAGAGCATATAAACATGTCACAGTATGCACACAAAATATGAACCTGGAAATTAGCATAATAAGGACCCTTTAATATTTAGTAAAATATTGCTCTGCAAGAAGTGGGGGAAATGTTAAAATATGGGCCTCTTCACCACTTTGCAGCTATTTCATGAAGTGCCTTCTGTGTGAGTGTTTGCATGCATGTGCGTGTGTGTGAGCAAGCCTCCTCCCCCCACCCCCGCCTCTCCCCCGTCAGGTGGGACTGTGATAGGATCCAATTAAGGGAGCTGTAGATAAAATTATGATGAATTGCAGTGGTGTGGTAGACTGCCGGACACACACATGCAAACACACACACACATGCAAACACACACACACACACACACACAGGCCTGGCAAACCAGTCAAACAGAAGAAGAGGGAAGCTAAAAGACAAAGAACAAGAGAGCCAAAGAAGTGGTGAGGGAATTAGGAAGAGATAATGGCGATGCAACAAAAAGAGTGTGTTGGAGGAAAGAGGGAAGAGAGAATGGGAAGAATAAAGACAGACAGAGGGGAGGAAGAGAGACTCTGCTCGCAGACTTGGGGACACAAACAAATGAGAGAGAAACAGATGGAGGGAGAGTGCTTGTGGAATATAAAAGATGTGCATGTTTGGGAAAGTGATGCTGAAAGAAAGGAAAAACCATGATCTGTGCAAAAGTGAAACTGCTGAGATGAACTGGAACTGCAGAGGGTGGAGAGAGGACTCCAGATGTGCCCACTGTGTTACACAGAGCAGAACAGAGGTCAGGGGAGTTAGTAACCGTACCATAAATGACATCATCAAGGTTAACCTCTGCCCATTGTCTAAATCTATCATTTGAGGCTACACTACATGTGTGTGCTTTCTAACCTAATCACATTACAGTAAGTACACTTTTTTTACACGTGTAGTTTTTGGAAATAAAAGTCCAAATAAGTTTTCATACTATAACTAATATCACATTAAAGAAATACACCAAATGTCCCTTATATGGCACAATATTACAAAACACATTCGTCTCAGGGTGCTTTGCTAATTGATAATCATGAAAAAATATATTATAAAGTTATAAGAATGTAATGTTATCACAAGAATATCATAAAATTCCAACAATTTGATACAATTATAACAAAATAAAAACATCACAAGATAGAATGTTAAATAGAAATAAAATAGTACAAGAGACGCTGTGTTGCAAGAAAAACGCAGGAATAAGAAAGATATTTAGAGACACAACACAATGTCAAACTTAACACTGAACCATTCAATAAATACCATTTGACTTGTTTTCATGTTGATGACGTGTATAAGAAGTGTATAGTGAGCGTTTTGCTGCAAACAGCTGACTTTATCTGAATAAAACACTAATGAGAAAAGAAGGGATAAACCAAAAGAGGCAAGTCACAGGCCTAAAAACCAAACCATTGTCATTTAAAAAAGGCATTTGATAAATTGGAAATGAATATATATGAATATTGATTATTGCATCTTTAAGAAACTAAATCTTGAATGCGTCTGTCTGCTATTTTAGCCAAGATGTAAATGATAGTCTCCCCTTTTCCCTATAAACACATTCATGATAAGAATATCTATGATTAGAATAGAATAGAATATCTTTATTGTCATCACACATCAGTGTAACGAAATTCAGTTGGCATCTCTCACTGCAGTACATAAATAAGAACACATCCATAAAGGCAGTGATAAAGCAGAGATAGTAGCAATAATCAGGGTCGTCACTTAAATGCACTTTACCAGAATGTTAAAATACATTTTTAAAGATGATTTAATAAAGAAAGGCTACAATGTTTAAATATAAATAATTACTAAAAATATCAGTTTGATACTTAATAAATATACAAATAAATAACACATGGTATTTTAGGCTGCAGTCTTTGATGGGAGGTAGTGTGTTTGTATGTGTGCATGTTCAAAGTTATAGTGAGTTTTGTGGTTGGATTGAGAGCCTGCATACTCACTACCATTGTTCTGAGTATTCTCAGTGGGGAAGTGTGTGTATGTATCACAGCTGGCTGAGACTGGGACACTACAGTGTAATAAATCACAGAGACAATTAGCCAGCAGTACATGTACACTCATCCATTCAATCTTACTGTCTCTTTGTGCATTATTTAGCCCCCTCGCCCAACACAACTGCATACTGAAATACACCAGGGACCCGCACAATGCATGGATGCTCCCTGAGATGTTCACAGGGAAACACACGCTGGCACGCGCACACACGGACAGGATGCATGCAAGCTGTGTGGATACCTACTGTGATTTTTCTTGGACAACACACGCGTACACACACACATCGTCCCCAGGGGTTTGGAGGCTCAACGTGAAGGATACATATGGAGATTCTCCACATGATCTTCTTCCTAATCATGTGGAGCAGACGGAGACTGTAGCATCAGCAACAACCAGCAACCTGCTTTACATGAGTTATTACACTGACACACATCGGATATCTAACTGTGTGTGTGTGTGTGTAAACTTCCCTCTGTAAGTCCATGCTTTTGGTGCTGTTGTGAGCAGCATAGCACATTTCAGACAAGATGACGGACTGTGTGTTTGTGCACTGTTCACAAATTGGTCTAGGCTTTTCTGAAGTCTAGACTTTTCCTAACTTTCAAAAACAAAATGCAAAGCACAGAAACAGTGTAGCACATGCACAGTACACACACATACAGTTTGTTCTTCTGCAACACTGCCTCATACTAAATCAGTTAAGATATATATTCTTAAGATAATAATAATAATAATTGAAAAATGTATAATTATGTATTTATTAACATAGCAATGCTTATCTCATTACAATATGTATAGAATTAACCCTTAGATGCACGAGTGACTGGACCCTACACTCTTCCATAAGTGGGTCAAAAAGAACCCGGATTAGAATAATATGTGTTTTATGCCATTTTTGTCATTTTGGTTAAGAAAAATCACTTGTATAATATTTAGTATTATATTTTGTTCACTATTTATAATTTTAGACTTTTTTTTTACATTTTGAAAAAAAAACGAAATTCCATAGAAGATGCATGCGGGTCATTTTTGACCCACTTATGGAAGCTTGGGGTAGTAATACAAAAACTACAATTTCTTAAAATGTATCAAATTTAAATTTAAAATTTGAATGGCATGATATCCAAAACATGTTTTTTGAGGAATAGCTGGAATATGAAATGATAAAAAAATGTAATTACAAAGATACTTCAAGAAAACCACCTCACCGGGTAAAAAAAGACCCACTTATGCATCTAAGGGTTAAAAGCATTTATATCAAGCAGCACAGAGCCCATACTCAAACAGATATAAGGGATATAAGTGCAAATTCGTTCAATTAGTTAGAATAAAATAAGTCAAAGGGGCCCTATTACGCTTGTTTCTGGTTTCCCTTTCTTTTAGTGTGTTCTATAGGTTTGTGTGCATGTAAATGGTTTGCAAAGGCTAAAATCCAAAGGTTCTCTCCCATCCCCTTGCTTGAATGGCCTCCGTTGGACTCCAACAGAAACATTTGCATAATATGCAAGTGCACACAAAAATGCTTAAGTACTAAATCAAATATATAAAGATGTGAGTGGCCACAATCAGCAGAAATAAGCATTAGGGATCAAACCTGTGGCAAAGAGTTACTGTGTTCTTGAACCGTTATAAACTCAGTGAGTTACCACACCAATGCACACA